TGGAGACTTCATTAGTATGGTTCTGGCAGTAAGGGGTGGCGGTGGGGTGGTGTTTTTTTTATTTAGCTTTTCCATCGTTGATGTGTAACCGTGTGTGCCTTGGTTTCAATTTTAAGGCCTGCCTTTTCCCCCCCTACCCTTAATTTATTTTCTGCTAGCCCTCTTTACCCTACTCCTCCCCTCCGTTGTCCGTCCTCCCCCCCCCGCAAGCCACGAAGGTCTTGGTGGCCCTGGCAAGGGTGGTTGGACGGTCTGCCCTTATGGTTGTCATTGCTCCTTCTGGACTTACTAGAAAGATGGCAGTTGGTGAAAGATCTTTATCAGTTGCACTCCTAGGCTTATCGTGAGAGGAAATGAGATTGAAAACTGCTGCCATGCAGGGGACTAGCATATTCGGGAGGGTGATCTCAGTAAACGTGGCCCTGGACCACACTTAACGAGCATGACCAAGCTTACGTAGCAGTCAAACAGGAGTTGTCTGTGTGGCACTGCAGAGGCCTAGTGCTTGATACTATTGATTCTGCTATTTAAAGGAAGCGTGGCTTGAGAAAGGTTTTTGCAGGTTTGATTTTTTTTTTTTTTTCCCTTCGGAGGATGGCAGCAGTAAATACAATGGCATTATAGTATATAACTAGTTTGAGACTTGAGGTTTTTTTGAGGGGTTGAAAGTAATAAGACGTTCAGCCCAGGCCTTTTTAAAGAGAAAGTTAGAACTAATTTAAGAGAGTGGCATTTTCTGTCCTTTAGATCACAAGTAGTTAGGCCTCCTTTCTCAAGGATTAACAATAAACATATCGTGGGTTCTGTTAATATGGCAGACTAGATCTCAGTTAATGAGTCTTCTCTATTCCCCCCTCCCCCGTTTTCCCTCCCTGCTGGGAGATTCAGGAATATTTTGTTTATATGTTGCAATGCATTTTAACATTTAGTTTCTTGTCATCTGTGGAGAGAGATAGTTGTATCCTTGCTTTATCTTACATCCACATTTCACGCTCTGAAATTAAAAGATACTTTCATTTTTTTCACAGAGAGGAGGGTTCTGGTGTTTTTCCACTATGAGATTTCCAGCTCAGTTTAACACAAGGACACTGGAGTAAACGCTTTGGCAAGTCTGAGATAGTTCAGACCCCAGCTGTTTTTGGAGTTTAGTGAGTGAGTTTGAGTATGCAGATGTATATACAGTTTCTTAAAAGAACACCCTCCAAAGCACTGTCACAACACTTGGCGTGCCTTAAAATTTGTGTAATCTCATTTTACGTAAAGACTTTGATTATAGGTCGATGCTTCTCTTTTTAGATCAGGGGTTTTGCCTAGTAGGAGTACCTACATGGTACTTGTAGGTACTTTAGACATTTGCATGGAAAATCGTTTTCTTGGCATATTATCCTGGAAGCTTTAATGCGTTGGGATTCAGTTTGTTAAATGTGTCTATTTAAGGTGTGAAAATATTTGTAACCACTAACAACCATCATACTTCATAAATAACCTCTATAAAATTTTGGGCCACCCAGCATGCTGGATAGGCACCATTTGAAAGTTTATCACCACCTCAGTGCCGATTCTTTCGTAGGCTAAACTAAATACAGGCTAAATACAGGCTTTCTGTTCTCCTCCTGTCAGGAACGAGTTGTAGGTGACTTCTTAGAATGGAAAGTTG